ATAAATCTAACCAAAGATGTACAAGATCTGTATGCTGAAAACTACAGAAAGCTTATGAAGGAAATTGAAGAAGATATAAAGAAATGGAAAAACATTCCGTGCTAATGGGTTGGAAGAATAAATATTGTCAAAATGTCAATACTACCCAAAGCTATCTACACATTCAATGCAATCCCAATCAAAATTGCACCAGCATTCTTCTCAAAACTAGAACAAGCAATCCTAAAATTCATATGGAACCACAAAAGACCTCGAAGAGCCAAAGTAATTTTGAAGAAGACCAAAGCAGGAGGCATCACAATCCCAGACTTTAGCCTCTACTACAAAGCTGTCATCATCAAGACAGCATGGTATTGGCACAAAAACAGACACATAGACCAATGGAATAGAATAGAAACCCCAGAACTAGACCCACAAACATATGGCCAACTAATCTTTGACAAAGCAGGAAAGAATATCCAATGGAAAAAAGACAGTCTGTTTAACAAATGGTGCTGGGAGAACTGGATAGCAACATGCAGAAGAATGAAACTAGGGGCGCCTGGGTGGCGCAGTCGGTTAAGCGTCCGACTTCAGCCAGGTCACGATCTCGCGGTCCGGGAGTTCGAGCCCCGCGTCAGGCTCTGGGCTGATGGCTCAGAGCCTGGAGCCTGCTTCCGATTCTGTGTCTCCCTCTCTCTCTGCCCCTCCTCCGTTCATGCTCTGTCTCTCTCTGTCCCAAAAATAAATAAACGTTCAAAAAAAAAAAAAAAAGAAGAATGAAACTAGACCACTCTCTCACACCATTCACAAAAATAAACTCAAAATGGATAAAGGACCTGAATGTGAGACAGGAAACCATCAAAACCCTAGAGGAGAAAGCAGAAAAAGACCTCTCTGACCTCAGCCGCAGCAATTTCTTACTTGACACATCCCCAAAGGCAAGGGAATTAAAAGCAAAAATGAACTATTGGGACCTCATGAAGATAAAAAGCTTCTGCACGGCAAAGGAAACCATCAACAAAACTAAAAGGCAACCAATGGAATGGGAAAAGATATTTGCAAATGACATATAGGACAAAGGGCTAGTATCCAAAATCTATAAAGAGCTCACCAAACTCCACACCCAAAAACAAATAATCCAGTGAAGAAATGGGCAGAAAACATGAATAGACACTTCTCTAAAGAAGACATCTGGATGGCCAACAGGCACATGAAAAGATGCTCAACGTCGCTCCTCATCAGGGAAATACAAATCAAAACCACACTCAGATATCACCTCACGCCAGTCAGAGTGGCCAAAATGAACAAATCAGGAGACTACAGATGCTGGAGAGGATGTGGAGAAATGGGGACCCTCTTGCACTGTTGGTGGGAATGCAAACTGGTGCAGCCACTCATGAAAATGGTGTGGAGGTTCCTCAAAAAATTAAAAATGGACCTACCCTATGACCCAGTAGTAGCACTGCTGGGAATTTACCCAAGGGATACAGAAGTACTGATGCATAGGGGCACTTGCACCCCAATGTTTAGAGCAGCACTCTCAACAATAGCCAAATTATGGAAAGAGTCTAAATGTCCATCAACTGATGAATGGATAAAGAAATTGTGGTTTATATACACAATGGAGTACTACGTGGCAATGAGAAAGAATGAAATATGGCCCTCTGTAGCAACGTGGCTGGAACTGGACAGTGTGATGCTAAGTGAAATAAGCCATACAGAGAAAGACAGATACTGTATGTTTTCACTCTTATGTGGATCCTGAGAAACTTAACAGAAACCCATGGGGGAGGGGAAGGAAAAAAAAAAAAAAAGAGGTTAGAGTGGGAAAGAGCCAAAGCATAAGAGACTCTTAAAAACAGAACTGAGGGTTGATGGGGGGGTGGGAGGGAGGGGAGGGTGGGTGATGGGTATTGAGGAGGGCACCTTTTGGGATGAGCACTGGGTGTTGTATGGAAACCAATTTGACAATAAATTTCATATATTAAAAAAATTAAAAAAATAAAACAATACAAATACTTCTCAAAAAAAAAAAAAAAGAGTGAAAATGGACCACAATCATAAAACAATGTTTATCAAACCAAAGTGATCTATGAAACGCAATAGGTTTTTATCCCATTTTGAAAAGTCCTGTGTTTGGCAGCAGAGTACCTGCAAGGCTATGGTACACACGCACTTTCATACTGTTTGCTTCACCTTCAAAATATACCCAGATTCTCACCACCTGGAGGTATCATCAGTGCTGACTTAACACCATGGATACTTGAATCACCTGAATAGCTTCCTAAATTGTCACTGCTTCAACCAGTGCCCCATGAGAGTCAATTCTTAAACAGGAGCCAGTGATTTGTCCAAAATGTAAAAAACAAATCATGTCCTTTCAGAGCTTATAACCCACTTTACCACTAACAAATGAAAAGCTATAGTGTGTCCCGGGATTGGAAGGCTCAGTATGCTCCAATGTCAATTCTGTTAGTTCTCCTCATTTGATCTATAGATCCCATACAATCATAGGCTAAATCCCAGAAGCTTTTATGAGATAGAATGATTCTAAATGGAGGAGCACAGGACCTAGAATATCCAAAACAATTCTGAAAAGAGAATGAAAGTGAAGAACTCACATTACATGATTTCAAGGCATGTAATCAATCAACAACAATCGAGACAGTGTGGTAATGGCAAAATGATAGACACAAACTACAGAATGGGGTCCAGAAATAGATGGACACATTCATAGTCAAATGACTTCCAACAGGGGTGCCAAGGCATTCAATGGAGATAAAGTACCTTCTTCTCAATAAATGGTACTGGAATAATAAACCTCCATAAGATGGGGGGAGGGGTGGGGGGGAGAGGGAGGAGTTTCCTTGAACCAACCACAACTTGTATCATAAACAAAAATTAAACTCAAACTGATCATAAATGTAAATGTGGAATCTATAACCATAAACTTCTAACAGGTAACACAGGAGTGTATTTGTGACCTTGATTAGATGAAACAACAAAAAAAACCATAAAGTCTGATATTTTGATAAACTGTAAATTGATCAATTAAAAATGTTTGTTCTTAGAGAACAGCATTAAGCAGGTGGGAATGCAAACTGGTGTAGCCACTCTGGAAAACAGTATGGAGGTTCCTCAAAAAATTAAAAAGAGAACTACCCTATGACCCAGCAACTGCACTACTAGGCATTTATCCAAGGGATTCAGGTGTGCTGTTTCGAAGGGGCACAGGCACCTCCACGTTTATAGCAACACTATCAACAACAGCCAAAGTATGGAAAGAGCCCAAGTGTCCATCGATGGATGAATGGATAAAGAAGATGTGGTATATATATACAATGGAGTATTACTCGACAATCAAAAAGAATGAAATCTTGCCATTTGCAAGCAACTACGTGGATGGAACTGGAGGGTACTATGCAAATGAAATGACGCTCAACGTCGTTAGGCACCAGATTAAATACAGGTACAATTAAATACCCGTACATACCTAGCATAACAGCTTAAACTGAATACCAAACCAAACAAAAAACCCACTACTTCCCCCCCACCGCCCCCGGAAACTGCCAATACCAAATGCTGGTGCAGATTCACAGCATCTAGAAATCTCAATGGCATGGCCACTTCAAAAACAGTAGAGCAGCACCTTGTGATGTTAAACATGCACTTGTTACAAGACCCAGGATCCCACACACGCTCAAGCATTTTCTCAAGAGAAATGAAGGCATGTGTCCAGGCAAAAAGACTGAAAAATGAACATTCAAGCAGCTTTATTCACAAGGCCAGAAGCTGGAAGCAACGCAAATGTCCCAACCGGTACACAGATCAACAAATTGTGACAGAGCCATGCAATGGGACTGACACACGCAACAACAGGGACGATCTCAAATGTATTACGTGCGTGACAAGTGTGATGGCCTTCAATGCCCCACGTGATCTGTCCTCTTTCACCTCTTCAGCCATACTGGCCCTCTGTTCTTGCTGTTGGCAGGACGCCTCGGGTACCACTCTGCCTCAGGGTCCTTGCACTGGCAGTTTCCTCAGCATGCAGTGTTCTTCTGTAGACACCAGCAAGGCTTCTTTCCCCACACTTGTCAAATGCTGTCTCCAAATATTTTCTCAGAGACGCGTATCTGATCAACTTATTTAAAATTAAAATCGATCCTTCACAACCCGTTCCTTGTTTCATTTCTTCTATGTCGATTATCAAATAACAAAGTCTTTTAATCATCTTCCATCACCTGAACGTAAGCTACACGAGGGCAGAAATCTTTGTCGGCTCTTTACGTGGTAATTACACCAGGGCACGGAGCGCCTCAGGAGCTCAATATGCCAGTTATGAATAAACACTTCACAGGCGGGAATACAAATATAATAACCACTATGGAGGACAGCATTTAGAGTATTTAACAAAATGAAACTGCATGTAACCTCTGACCATTTTCGCTTATAGTTTCACCCCTACAATCGTGTGATTATAAACAACCCAAATGTCTTTCAATAGAAGGTTGAATAAATTACCAACAGTACTTTTACATACTAGACCACAATGAAGCTATAGTAAAAAATGAGGATGCTTTTTAAGTCTCAATATGGAAAAATGTCCTCTTTATGGAAAAACTTTAAAGCAAGAATAAATGGTATGCTAGAATTGTTGGTGAATAATGGAAGGAGGAGCGTCTAGGTGGCTCAGTTAAGTGTCCAACACTTGGTTTCCGCTCAGGTCATGATCTCCCGGTTTGTGAGTTGGAGGCCCACATCCGGCTCTATGCTGACAGTGCGGAGCCTGCTTGGGATTCTCTCTCTTCCCCCTCTCTCTGCCCCTCCCTCGCTTGCTCTCTCTCAAAATAAATAAATTTAGAAAAATCAGAATTAATGGTAAACAGTGTAAACCAGTGTTAAAAAGTAAAGTTTAACTTGATCTAAACCTTTTTCTACTTTTCTGAATGTATGGTCTCTTTATAAGCTTCTTAAATCCACCGTAATACAAAGTGAGGAACGAACCGAAGGCTCACCTGAGATGTGTTCATTTTCTGCACCTCTCGGGAGACCGTGAAGGGTCTGGCCTGCCCGGCGGCTTCTAAATTCACTTCCACAAAGTCTCAGCACCCCAGAAGGAGAGGAGGCTCCCTCCAGGAATAGGTCGGTTGGACCCTGGAAAAGGGAGGAGAATGACTGTGCAGAGCCAACGACTGTCCGTACGAGTCCCTTAAGTGATCGTGGCGGCATAAGCCTGCAGGTTTCTAAACTTTTTTCTATCAAGTTAAAAAAAGCAATCAGCTAATGACCAGAGTATACGAAAGGATCAAGCACTGCTCTTTCATTAAAATTAGCACATAAAAAAGACGCAGGCTCCATCTTTATCCAGAGTCTTCGTAAGACTACTTTACCCCTTGCGTGAGCGAAGCCAGGAAGCGAAGCAAAAGGGACAGCGCCGTGGACACCTGGCTGGACCCGCAGACTGTACGATCTCACCCATCTGAGACTCGGATTTCACACCGGGGTAACGCGTGTGCCGGTACCTGCACCTGGCAGTAGGGTAACCGCTTCACAGGTGAGCTCTTACCTAACTCTCCGAGACACGCCCACAAGCGGACGTTACCCTCACTACTATCGTCATTTCCAGAAGACCTGCCTCTTTCCGAGGTTACTTCTCTCGCCCCGGTTACAGGTGACAGACCTGGAATCTCCCTGGTCTTTGCGGCTCGCAAACTCGGGCTCCACCGCAGACCTCCCGGCCCCCCCCCCCCGCCCCCCGCTCCCGCGCTTGCCAGCACATTCGCTGTCAACGTCGGGAACGCGCTTTCCCTTCCCGCCGCCCGCAGAGGTCTGCCCGGGTCGGGATGCAGGCCGTGCCCGGCACACGGTCCCGCACACCTCTGCCCGCACCACGCACCGACTGCACACGGGGCTCGGCCCGACCCGCCCACGGGGAGCGCGTGCCCTGGAGCGCGCCTCAGGCTCCCGACTTCCCGCCAGTGGCTTCCGGGTAACACCCACCGCCCCCACGCCAGCCCAACGCTCCGCACACGTTCCACAGACCCTCCGCGCCCTCACCCCAGGTGTGCTCCTTCCAGCCTGCCTGACCGAGAAAGTTCTGGGACCTGCTCCGCGGGAAGAGGCAGATGTGTAAAAACACGGCGGGGCTAGGACGGCACTTGCGCAGAAGACCCAGACGACCCGTTCCCAGAGTGCTGCGCGGTGATCCGTGTGGATTGGACTACATTTCCCATAGGCCTCTGCCCTTGCTACTTGACTTGATCATGCAGTGATGTCCCCTTTGGTGGGTGGCCGTTTTTCTGCCCACGTTCTTTTATAGCCCCTAGATGTTCTAGATTCAATGTGACCATCGTAATCCAATGCGATGCTTGCCCCTCGATGAGATCCCGACTGCAAAAACAGCAGCTGCCACAGGCTCTGAGGACAACTTGAGAAATTTGAACACGGACTGGGAATTAGAAATATTAAGGAACATACGATTACTCTCGCATGGTGTGAAAATAATATAAGAATCACATAGGAAATATACGAATTTATTTAAAGGCACGAATAGTGAAGTGTTTAGGATTGAAATTGTACGTTTGTAAATTGGTTTTACTTCCCGAAAGCAAAATCAGACAGCATATATGGCAAATAAAACTTTTTAAATCAAAGAAAAGGTGCTTATTTTGCTGTATTCCAATTTTCTGTATAGAAAGTAGTACAGAGAGAGCAAAATTTTAAATGGGATCTTCTTCACTCGTGTGCTTACTGAACTCAAAATGGCCAAGGGAAGTCAAGGGACATAAACATTTCTCTTAAGATTAAGCTTGTGAGATGTATATGTTACTAGAAAATGGAGGACAGAAATCCAATAAAAGACTAACAATCTTTTAACCAAAGGGAAGAAACAAACAGGGGAAATGCAAGTACACGTTTCAAAAGTAATTAATACGTAAAACATTACACAAAGCAAGGTCAAAATGATCAAGCAGATGTTCAAGGAGCAAATCTAATTCTCATCCATCTTCTAATCTCCTCTCCCTTGGTGCACATTTGTATCTCTCCATTTTGTGCCTGTTTCTAGAAGTCCATCCACATGCCTTTACCCCAGACTTCCTGATCACCAACTTTCCAGCCTATTCTTTCCTAGTCCTCTATTACCATTGAGTAAGGAACCGTTGACCATAAATCAGCATTAATCTAAAGTCAAGACATCCCTTCTTCATCAAACACAGACAACTAAAATACCTCCCCAAATTCTGTGCACCGGGCGGATTTGCCCTCACCACACCCTTTCAGGGTGACCCCTGAGTGTGGCCATAAGCGAGCAGCTTTTCACTTCCAGCTGATCCCACCATACCGTGCAGACACATCTATAAACCAGTTTTTTCCTCCTTTGTTAGCTCAGTATAGTCAACTCCCTATAGGGCCGTAAGAAGACTTGACAGACAAGGAGTTGAGGAGTAGGACTAGTTATCACTCAAATGTAAACTATTTGCTCATGCAGATCGCTTACATCTTTTGGTCCTGTTTTGGTCAGTCTTGAATTTACCATTCATTTTACCATTCATTCATAGCACCACACACAGATTGTCACAGCTAATGATGGACAATTTCTGTCACATAGTCGCTCACCATCCCATAATCAGTAATTTAGTAGCAGGGCGCAGTATCAAGATAGAAGCTGCTTGTTTCGATGGCGAAGACTTAGCAGCAGCAGAAAGCATGCTTCACTCCAGAACTCTAGGAGTTTGGACTACACAGACTTCTACAACGCCATTGGGTCTACTGGGGCATAAGGTTCACAGGACAATGCAGCTTACATCATGTTCTAGATCACCTGCAGAACTTCCTGTTGCTCCGACAAATACGTCGGAGTAGCTTGTCCAGAAGTGTTGTAACTTGCCTCCAGAATTTGACAATGGCCATCCAACTGTCTGCATCATCTATGTGGCGGAGAGCAAAGATGATGCAACAAATTGTTTCACACTTTCAGGGAGCTGTTTGAACGTACTCCAGACTACTAAACCTCTAGAGACTTCATTTTTATAACATTTCTTTCACTTTTAAATGCTACTTTCCACTGGTTGTTATGAATGCTTTTTGCTTAGAAATCTAATGTGCTTCTATTTCCTGTTCACCAGTTTTCCAATTAACATAATGCCATCTATTATAGACCAGTGAAATATTATAATATTACAGTAAATTGTATTACGATAAAGGAGAGATGATACAAGCTTCTCAAGACAGTGATCATGCTCAATTGTCCCTTACAGAAACAAAGCATCTTCTGGTTTTCCATATTGATGAAGACAGAGGCATTAACCCTTGGTTAAGGAGTAGCTTGGTGGGTCAAATGCTAAATTGACTAAAGGTACCCCGTCTGGAATCGTATTCATGCATGGCACTATTACCGGATTAAGTTCATGGTTCTTGACTTACTTTCTAAAATCATCTGGCTTTCATCAGCCACAGAGTTGAAATAAATGGGGATATAGAGAAACTATCACCATAGCAAATTCTGAAGTTTTGTTGGTGGCACTAATCTCCACTGTTCCCTCCAAAATATGGTAGTGCTGCTGTGGATGTCCAAGAACTTCTTCCTAGACCTTCCTACCTCATTAACTCTACTTCATTGATGAGGAAACCTATGCAGAGCTCAGCTCATTATAGGATTAAATTGTAGAGTGTATGTAGTCACTAAACATTCTGGGCCTATGGAAATAACCACAAACTGTATCCACTTCAAAGTGAAACAGTTTCCAGCAAGATTCTTCACTCTAACTGGAGGAATATGATCACATTTTAGCTCTCAAGGGAGTAGTATCACTCCATAGTCGGTATATAAGAACAACAAAAATCATATTTAGATACTGCCTCCCCTCTCCAGAAAAATGCAGACACTTTGGTGTATGACCATATGGAATGCTTATGGAAAGATTCCTTCTACATACGTGCATCTATGATATAGGAAACTTTAAGAAACCTAGGCTCTCCTTGAGTTGACGCCTCTAGTCTATAAACTGGATTGTATCAGAAAAATGGGAAAGAAGCTATAAATGTCTATTATGGTGACTTCTGTTATTTTATTCATCATTCGTCCTGAAAATATATGTATATAATATATACTTTGAAGTACCATGAGAAAGTCAGTTTCTAATTCATTTCGATGGATCTAATAATCAGGTAACCACCAAGACAAATCCCTACCCGTCTTTTGGTTCTCAAAATTTGCTACAAATTGATTATACCCAGTGAGTTAAAAAAAAAAAATCATGTTTTGGTTCTATTGGAGAGAGATTTATTTTATTGATATGAAATAAAGCCTTGGCAGTGGGATTTTCCTCGCTTGCCCGAAGGGGTACTAACGTAAAAGCCTATTTGAGAACCACTACTCTAGCTCACATCACACATAGACACTCTGCCTCTCCTGCTGACTGTGTTAATTGCACTCATCTTGCCGCTGAGAGTTCATTGCTGTCACCAGGGATCCGCCAATCCTAATGAGCTCAATTCCCAATGAAATCCAGGGACCTATTTCAATAGATGTCTCTGTTGCCATCATTTTCAACCTAAAAATATGGTCATCATAGAGCTGCTCAAGGTCTTAGGTGCCTCCGTCTTCAATGCATTTTATGTTGATTAAAGGAGTGTTCTTCAGGCCTCTTGGGGACCTGTTTAAGGAGTGCTGGGCATCATAAGTAATATATTCACTCTTTCATTCCCATCACCATGAACCTTCATTTTACTCCTTTAAGTGTATCTTGGACATTCTGGAATCTCAGTCTTAGATACTGTAGACCAACACTTAACCCTTGATTCAATAAACCAGTCTGGCAAACTGGTAGAGCGACTCCCACAGTCTCAAGGTAACGCGTTAATTCCTGAACCCACAGCTGGGGTGGTCATAGCCATAAATATGACTTGATCCGAGTATATTTTATCCTTCCAAGTCTCACATCCTAAGAATCTGTTTTAAAATATACCTGTTGTTGGCTTAGTCAGCTATAGTAAGGTGACAGACATGGAGAGAGCTGCCTTTGAAAGGGGTGTTTATTACCTACATTTCCAAGAGGTGGGGCGTACTGTGTCATGCAAGGTTACATTGGTAAGTACCAGGGTTACCCAGAAAGAGCAAAGGGAGAGCATTGCCCAGAGCCTCTATTACAGTTTCCATGGGAAGGAACGGTCAAAGCAGGGTAGGCAAGTCTGAGCAAGGTTAGAATTGGGTAGTTTGACAGTTTCATTGTGCTCTGGGCTATAGGGATGGTTTAGTTGCCTATACCTAACTTACTGTGATTTTCGGGCAGGGTGTGATTATTTTAGGGCATATATATGTATATATATATATTTTTTTTTTCTGTTTTTGAGAAAGAGAGAGAAAGTGTGAGTGGGGGAGATGGGTAGAGGGAGAGAGAGAGAATCCCAAGCAGACTCCAAACTCAAAGCGGAGCCTGATGCGGGGCTCAATCCCACAATCCTGGGATTATAATATTTAGATACCTCCTCAAGACTCCTCAAGAGTGCCCAACCAAATGAGCCACCAGGTGCTCCAGGGCAGGGGAAACATTGTCTTCATGTGTGAAAATTATATAAAGGAAGTATTTGGGGACGGGGTCTTTGGATTTGTTGGTTTGCACATGAAAAGTATACCCTGAGAGGAGCTGTTTACTACTTCTAGGAAATAGCTGGCCTGGGGACAGGCAATCTTTCCAGGCTACCGGATGTCAAAGCATTTTAAGACACAGGAAATAAATAACATGATTAAAACAGAATCCACTCTCAGATGTGCCACACGACCCTTGTCTATATTATCTGGCAAGATTCTGACGGATCAGGACACCTGCTGTAGTCTCTTTCTGGAGAAGATCAGTTCCTCTGTGAACCACTAAGATTTCAGTCTCCTGATGGATGTAGGGCAATAGGGGGAGGTAAGGAGATAAACAGATAGGTGAGAAGTGATTCCCTTTCTCTTAAAAAAATTTTTTTTAATGTTTATTAATTTTTGAGAGACAGAGAGAGAGAGCGCTAAAGCCCCTTGAGTGCACAACCTTAAATTCATAGATCCTTAGGATGAATATTGTTTCTTTGAAACTTGAAAGCTTTACTGTGAACTGACCTCTGTGTTATTTCCAATTTGGGGCTGTTATGAATAATGATGCTAAGAATATTCTTGACATATCTTGG